TTTTAAAACCAAAAATTATTGCTGAGAGAAATTAAAGGAGACTTAAAACAGTGGTTCTCAATTTTCTTCCCCAGGATATATTTGGCAATGTCTGGAGACATTTTTGGTTGCCATAACCAGGCCGGGAGGGGGCAACTTTACACAACTGGAACCTAGTGAGCAGAGGCCAGGGGTGTTGCAAACCATCCTACAATGCACAGAACAGTTCCCCACAACAGAATTATGTGCTCAAAATTGTCAGTGTGCCGAGGTTGAGAAACCCTGGTGTAATGGAGAGATATATCTTGTTTAGGGGTCAGAAGACTCAACATTGTTAGGATGTCAGTTCTCCACAAAGTGACCTATAAAATCAATGCAATCCCAAACAAATTCCCAGAAGGCCTTTTTTTTTTTTTTTTGCTTTTTGTATATATTAACAAGCCAATTCTAAAATTCACATGGAAATGCAAAGGTCCTAAAATAGCCAAAACAACTTTGAAAAAGAATAAGAAACTGGGTAAACTAACACCACATGACGTTAAGACATCACAAAACTGCAGTGCTCAGGACAGTGTGGTGTTGCCCTTGACGCAGCCAAATGGAACAGAACTGTGTGGGTCTGCATAAGGACTCACATATATATGGACAATCGATTTTCAACAACCACGCACAAGCGCATCAGTGGAGAAAGGATAGTGTTTTTAGGAAATCGTGCTAGAGCAATTGGATATGTGAATGTAGAAAAATGAACTTTCATTTATATCTCACACCATATGAAAATGTTAACTCAAAATGCGCCATGAGTCTAAATGTAATACCTGACATTGTAAAACTTGTAGAAGGAAATATAAGGAAAAATATTCGTGACCTTTGGTTAGGCAAAGATTTCTTACGTACAATACCAAATGCATGACCCACAAAAGAAAAAAAAATCGGTAAATTGGACCTCGTCAATATTAAAAATTTATGCTCTCTGGAGAAGTATTAAGAGAATGAAAAGACAAACCATGGACTAGGAGAAAAAAGTTACAAAGCATATATCTGATAAAGGATTTGTATCCAAAATATGTAAAGAACTCTAAAAACACAACAAGAAAACAAACCAATTAAAAAATGGAGAGAAGATTTAAACAGGCGCTTTATTATTGAAGAGAAACAGATGGCAAATAAACACGTGGAAAGATGTTCAACATCATTAGCTAACAAGAAAATTGCAAATTAAAACCACAAGGAAATACTACTATACAACTCTTAGATTGGCAAAACTAAAAGGACTGACCGTAGAAAGACCTGGAGAGCATGTGGAGGGACTGGGATCCCCACACACAACTGGTGAAATGTACAGTGCAGAAAACGGTTTTGTCTTTTTTTTTTTTTTTTTTTTTTTTGTGACCGGTAAGGGGATCTCAACCCTTGGCTTGGTGTCACCCGAACTGCGCTCAGCCAGTGAGCGCACCGGTCATCCCTATATAGGATCCGAACCCGCGGCGGGAGCACCGCTGCGCACCCAGTGCTGCACTCTCCCGAGTGCGCCACGGGGCCAGCCCCAGAAACCACTTTTGAAAACACTTTGGTAGTTTATTAAAAAGTTAAACACTTACCACTATAAGATCCACTCTTAGGTATTTTCCCAAGAAAAATGAAAGCCTAGGTACATGCAAAGACTTGCACGTGGATATTCATAGCAGCTTCGTATGTGAGAGTCATACGTGAAAACAATCAAAAGAAGCAAGCAAACTTCTGGGGCATGAGTGTGTCCTCCACTTTGACTGTGATGGAGCTTTCACAAATGTCAGAATTTATTAAACTGCATACTTTAAATACATGCAGTTTTTGTATGTCATTTATAACTAAAAAGAATGCTACTTAGAAAATGAAATAGGGGCCGGCCCATGGCTCACTCGGGAGGTGTGGTGCTGATAACACCAAGGCCCCGGGTTCGGATCCCATATAGGGATGGCCGGTTTGCTCACTGAGCGTGGTGCTGACAACACCAAGTCAAGGGTTAAGATCCCCTTACCGGTCATCTTTAAAAAAAGAAAATGAAATAGAATTGTTAAAAGATAAAATAAATCTCCCAGAACACAGAGCTAGCAGACAAAATAATTAAAACAGGACAGAAAGATTATATATTAAAGATAAAACCAGTGAGTGCAAAATCGGACTAGTAGGAGCACATGAAAAAAAGGTAGAAGAAATCTTCTTTAAAAAAATAGAAGAAAACTGTTTAAAGCTAAGGGATATAGATATTTAGATTGAGAGGTTCACCCAGGATCCAACACCATGAACAAAAAAAGGTTCACAGTAAATACACCTTTGTGAAATAGCAGGAAGACATCCTTATCCAGGGATGATGGGTGGAGGATGGTGGGGGAGGGTGGCCTGAGTAAATGAGGTCGCCTGACATCGAGCCTGTTACCAGCACCACCAGATGATGGAACACGATGATACAATGATCTCAAAGTTCTAGGAAAGTTAGGTTTCCTAACTACCCATCAGACATGAAGGACCATGGAAAGAATTCAGAAACCTTTGGCCACACACATCCTTCCTGGGACATTAACTGAGGATGAACTGAGGCAAACAGAGGGATAAAACCAGGAAAGTGGAAGACATGGTATAAAAAAATAAAAAATAAAAAATATTGAGGGACTAATCTAGGAGTCCAATGGAATGAAATCAAAGGATGAGAGTTTTGTAGCAGATCCAAAAAGTAAACAGTCCTAATTTGTATGGGAAGTCAGTCGACACCAAGAAGAATATCCCCATGAAGAAAAACAGAGAAGATTTCTAGCAATAAATAGGATGACTGAAGTGGTGAATAACATTGGTACATGGTCGAGAGATCATGTTATTCTTTCATCATTAAGAAAAAACAATGCAAATTACACACCCAAATACTATTCTGGGTATTTTGGGAGTGTGGGAAGGAAGTAAACCTAGGAAAGTCTTGAGCAAACATAAATGTTAGGTGGTTTGGAGCAACTGAAGGAATGTAAAGAAGTAATTCATTTGACCTGGACCTTAGGAATGTTCTCCTTCAAATAGCCCAAGGTTGAGACACTGGACTTGTAAGGGTGGGGCAGAAACCTGAGCAAACTGCTCAGCTCTGCTTTGAATAATATTTATATCATCTTAGCATGTTATATCATCTTATTACGTTAACTTCATCGGCAACTGGCTTTCCAACTCTTAGAATGAATTCATAAGTAAAATCCTCAAGGCTGAGGTATGTATGGTTGGAGTGCTGAGTGCAAAGCCTCGTCCCTGACGCTGCAGGAAGCCAAGGGAGGCCTCTGCACACCGGCAGCCGCCATGCTTTCCAGGCAGAGTGACGGCAGCATTCCTGTTATTTTCCCTTCTTCTAACGTTTATCTTTACACATTTGAACCTTGAAATTCTAGACCTTGAAATGTACTTACATAGTGCAACTCAATAATGTGGGTTGTTCACTCGTTTTCAACTTTTAGCATCAATTTGTAAACATAATACTAAATGCTAAAATATAATTTTATGACTGCAGACAGAGGGTTTCAGCCTTGATAATGCATAATCACAGTCATAGCTAACAGAAGATGGGAGGTGGAAAGGAAGCAAGAGAGACACCAGGACAGGGCTGCTAATGCCTTGTCTAAAAAACGGAAAGTTGACGCTGCCTAGACCCGGTGGGTCAGGGGACAGAGGTGTGCGTTGTGAAGACACTTTCTCATGTCATCTGCCTGCTGGGCCAGTGGCCAGCTTCTCTTCCTGTTTCAAGCCACACACCCCATCCCACTACATACCCACATGCTTCCATATCACTGCATTGCTTGCCTGTTCACTCTAACTGGACCTGTCACCCCAATCAATGCCGGGCCTATAATGTCTTACCTGAAAAATGATATCACAGGTTCCAAAGAGTCAGTTTTCTCTGAAGAACAGTGCTCCCACTCAGAAGAGAGTTGACAACCCCTGCCCTTTAGAAGCTGGTAGAAAAGGTGGAGAACTGTACAGTGGTGCCCAGTGTGGAGGTGGGACAGGACTGGGTAGACTCTGGGTACAACCGGACCCCACATTCAGGAAGGCTTCCTCAGTCGATCAAAAGCAGGATGGTTTTTAAAAGAAGCACTAAGGAATTCAGTCAGAATTTGAACATTCTTTCTTCTGTGGCTATTGGTCATTTAAACCTGTTACCCAGGATGGATAGTGTTTTAACCTAGTGAAGTAGGTAAGAAATGTCTTTAGAGTGATGTTCTAGCATTAGACAAAGAATTAATGTAAAATATGTCCAAGATAGGGTCCCAAAGTAGACCAGGAATGTAAAAAACTTGTCCATATGATGAAAAAAAAAAAAAAGAATGAAAACAAGAACTTTAAAGAATTACTGAAGTATTTGTGTTATTTTGCTTAGTGTAGATAAATCTGGAGGTAAACACCAACTGGCTGAGGGCATTTCGTAAGACTTACAACCACTGTCGAGGAGTTTTTAAGGTGTTTGCAGGTGAGCCAACAGTCTCTCTGGGAGCCTTGAAATATATTTCTCAGTAAAAGTTCTGTCTGGTTTGAGGTGTCCAAGGATCTGAATTCATTCGTTCGTTCGTTCGTTCATTCGTTCATTCATTCATTCATTCCAAGACACCACTTGTTACTTTCTCATTGGAGAGAAAACAAAGGAAATGGCCTTATCATACTAAAAAGCTGAAGATAAGGATCAATACCACCTTGGCCAGAGGTTATTGGCAGATTGGTTCCCTGGCCTTTAATATAAAAATATTTCTTTCTTAAAACACTTATCTGAAGAGTGACAAGGTAGATCTCGGTGTGTCTTGCTTTCCTTTGAAGTTCAGAATAAATTGTGTGTGTGTGTTTTTAGAAAGACATAGTTTAAACGGTCTCACATGCAGTCAGTTTTAGCTTATTTCTTTTTACTTTAAGCATAATCCAAATGGGCATGAGCAACTAAAAATGACTGGAATTAAAATAACCACACCATTTCAACAACAGATATCCAAGGGAGAAAAAAAATCAGTCTTCACATTTAAGTCAGTTAGTCCTTTTTTAATAAATTTGAATTCATTCATCAACAAGTTTCATGTTGTATCTATCACTCAATTTTGCTGTTTTTTTTCATGTCAAATAATACCAAAAAATTACATCAATGTGCTTAAGCAAAACTGGGTTTAAATTTATCTTTACAATGAAATGAAATCACATGAGAATTGATCATGACAGCAATCGCCTATCTCTACTAGAATGATCCTGTACTTACCTTGAACACTCTCACTGACTAGTGACGTGGAAACATGAGACAAGGACAGACACAGGGGAGGGGCTGGCCCTAGGGAGGGGTGCGGTGTGAAAACCGCTCTCTGTGAGGGCTCTGCAAACCCAGGTGTTGGAATTTAGTATTTCAGGAAAACACGGCACCTTTCAATGCAGTAGAAGAGGTAATCAATCCAAGGCACACTAGCTAGTGTCCTGGGAAAATTTATTCCACCTGGGCAGCGTTTTGCCCCAAAATTCAGTGTTGCTCTGACTGTTGGCTCACATTAAGACGAGAGCCAGAGTTGAATCCAAGAGCAACAAAATATTTCACCAATTGTTCAGTTTTGCTTACACAGAATGGCCATAAATACGAACTTGTTTTCAGGTGGAGAGTTAAAGTAGGAATTACGGAATGGATTATACTTTCAAGCCAGGAGATTCAAAATTGGATATATTCTCTTTTAGTACACACCGTTGTGGGACAAACACCAACAGGTATCTACTAGTTGCTGAAAATGAACACCTACAGCTGCAATGTGCCCGTCTCCTAAAACCAGTCCTAACCTTGTTTGGCATAACCTCTGAGATAATCTCCTTGGTGAAAATATCAACCCCAAGTTTGGACAGGAGAGAAATAAATGCCTTTGATGGGAATGACTGATTATGTCAGAGCTCTGGGTTCCATCATTTAAAACATATGCCATTACAGATGTACTTGTACCTTATAAATCTAATGGGGATATCATGACATACTTCCTAATTCGGTTGGGATTCACGGGGAAATGAATATCTCATGGTACAGACAGTGAAACCCCTCTACAGTCTGGGGATGGTGAACAGGAATAACACTGTTTTAAAGATGACACAAGTCTTATCAGTCTTTCTCTGTAAGGTTTGATGTGGCAGGGCTCTTGAGTTGTCTCAAGCATGTCTGAATGTGGGTGATAACAAACTGTCTTAACAAGATTCTTGTGTACATTTTGAGACCCTGTGAAGCATTTTGAAAAGACAGGACCAGTTAGGAAATTAACTTTTTATTACTTTCAGTTGTTGAGAAAGAAAGCTCACTATATTCCAAACTGAACTTTTCTGTCCTTACTCAAGAGGTCTGGGCGTGGGTAACAGCCCCCTCACACACATGTCAGAACTGCGGGTTCAGAATTCCTCAACGTGGCTCACTCACTGGCTTGAACAACTACTGTGGAGTAATGAGAGGTCATTTTAACAGAACAGAGAATCAGCTCCAACTCTCTTCTGTCAGCACAGTCTGAGTTCTCTCCTCAATACTTCTCACAACTTTTAAAAATGGAGAAGTTATAAAATAATTTTATTGGAAGAAAAGTAATTTTCTTCTGAAATGGAGTAAAGCAAACACATACCCAAGGATCTTAAAAAGTTTTTTTTTTTTTTACAGAATATATGTATGCATGTGTGTGTGTGTGTATGTGTGTGTGTAGTTACAAACACTATTTATAGTATAGCTATTATGTTAACTTCATCGCAGTGTCTACAAAGTTGTGGATCCCAGTCTCGGTGCCAAATGCATATAAAAAGCTCAAAAGCTATTATGACTATACCATGCAAATTTATATCCAGAAAACCTTGGGAAGTAGACTGCAGTTCTTCTGAGCCCCGTGGGGGTCTCTGCCTTTGATATTTGGGTACCTCAACTATGCATCAAAAAAGTTTTGAATTACATTTCTCCCAGAAAGAATTAATGTCACAGTTCTGAACAGTATAAATTATACACTTAAATCAACCATTGTCCACATCCATTTGCACTTTGGGGTCCCTCTTCTGCACGTGGAGCTCACATCTTTAATTACTGGATACACAAAAGATACCTGAAGTATTGAAAGAGATAAGGTCTTTGCAAATGTCTTTTTATCTTTCACATGTTAACAATGATAAGGCCACTTACAAGGTTTTCCCCAATCTGTCTAACTCTTAGGATCCCCCATTGTTACCCATGACAACAATTGTCAGAGAAAAGCCAAAGACCAAGAAATCACTGGCTAGTCTCCAGATAAAAATAAAACAAGAGAGCAGCGGCTGGGAGAAGACATTGAAGAAAGATAGGAATGAAGGAGGGAAAAGGGCACAAAAATTGGTAATTGCCTCTAGCATGAGAGTTTGTGGATTATGTTTTATCAGATAGTGGGTTTTGAACTGTTACAGACTCCCACAAATTAAGAGTTGTTATGGCCACCAAAGAAAGATCAAGTCGTGGTCAGCTCGTGGTGCTAGTCCACACCACGTGTGTCCTCAGGGAGGGTGCCTCTGCCTACGTGGAGAACACTGGCGCCAGCCAGTCGAGTCCTGGAATAGACTCTGGCAACTAGTTTTGGATAGAACAGAGAGGGTGAGGCATATGTGGCATTTTGGGATAAAGCATTAATTTAGCAGTTCTTTCCGGCATATTTGCTTTTTAACTTTTTCTCCAAATGCTCAACTTCGCTGTGACACCTGTTTGCACAACTGCAGTCATTTCAGTTTATGGATGCCTGTGATAGAAACATTGTTTACAAAAAATATATCATCTTTGTTTTTTCTTTAGAAAGATCTCATCTAAATAGTAAGTTAAGTTTGCATCTATGAAACCGGTGCACCTTGTCTTGTTTCTACGAGCTTTAAAAAGTCCAAATCCTGATGAGGCTGTGGATCAGAAGGAACCAAAAAGTGACTGTTTGCTGTCAGGTTGCCCTCCTGAGCCTCAGACAGCAGTCATGGGTTGTGGGTGATGCGTGGTGTGTACTGGTCATGTTCCTGCAGAGTCCTAGTCAGCCTAGGAGCGGGTGTATGTGCTTATGAAATACGTCAGATATGGAAATAAAGGCATGAGGATGGTTCTCAGTGTCTGAAATTGAACAGTAGAAGTGTTTTAGCTTCAATCTTAATTTCTAGATAACAGAAAGTAGTTACATCAAAGAAAAATATGACATTGCATGCTGCCAGAATAGCTAGCATAAGAAACAAAATCTTGGCAAATATACATATATATGCATATTATGCAAATATATTTTATATTAACATACAATGTTATAAGAATGACTGATAACGTAACCTCAAGGGGGAAAATCATCCTGGATGGTTTTACCATAGAGTAACGAATAACCTGAGACGTCTATGCTCTCTGCTAGATGTCAGGCCTAGAAATCCATTCCAGATATAGAGTGCATTTCCAGTGATTGAAATGTCATTGCCAGAACGTGCCACTGTGTTCCCACACGACAGTTAAGCTGGATCCACTCCAAGTGAACGAAAAGAAACACTCACTGGATATTAGAGTACTTACAATGAGATACCATTCTCTCCTGATGGGTTTTCAGAAGATGGACGTTCAGACATCCGCGTGGGATCTGTCTGTGTTTGCGAGAACCTCGTCCACTACGACAGAAAAACTGCGTGCCCGATGGAAGTACCCCATCACCAGACAAACCACAGCCTGCACTTAGTAAACTGGAGGAGAGGACATGAGGTGTGTGACTCATTTAAAACTAGCAATACCACTGTATGAGTTTTCAAAGATTAACTAAGAATTTCTTTCTGATTTTTAAACTAAAACATTTAACTTATGATAATAAAAGACACCTTTTGGGATGATGTTGTGTTTCACACCCTCATTCTCAAGGCATAATATTTAGATGATGCTTGTCCCTTTCAATTAAAAAAGAAAAAACTATGACTTTCTTCAATATGCATCCTGTGTTAAATTGTCCATAGCTGCAAAATGTATATATGTATGTGTATTTGTTTTATATACACATGGGTACTTACACCTGTGTGTATAAACATATACACATACATCCTCATATACACGTGTATTTTATATATATGCTGAGAAAGTTCACATATATATACAATTGCGTATGTATATATGTGTGTGTCTGCGTGTGTGTGTCTGTGTGTGTACAGGTATAAAAACTTGACAGGCAGAGTAATATTTCACTCAGTGTTAAATGAAGTCTTTGAAAAATCAAGTACAGTCACTCAGTTAACATAGTACAGCCAGTAAACTAAGTTGAAAAGAGAAAAAGTGAATGGAAACACGATCCTGGACCATCTGTCTATGGCATTCACATCGGTTAGATCAGGGATTTTGATTTTGAGCTGCGAAGACCTCCTCCGTAGATGGGTCTTCTTGTGCGGGATGTTCCTGTCCCCTGTGAATCGCCCATGCCCTTCCCGAGGCATGCTCTGTTTCCTGTACTGGATTCCTGAGTTGTCAAAGGATATTGCTGAATTCCTGGTATCTCCAACGCCACCTGCGACCTCATTCATTTCATTGTGAACCTCCAGCGACGTTAACAGAATGTTTCCATGAGCATCCACCTAATTGGAAGAAAGTGCATGTGGTTAGACAGCAAATTTATGCCGATAAATCTAATGTTCATATGCAAACCCAGGTCGGGATAATGTCGTGCAATCATGGTACAGTTTATGAGAAATTTTACATCTGTCAAACCCAGCAATCGGTTTTATTGGAAAATGTCATTTTGGAAGCCTAACTGCAGTTTAGAGATTTTATTTCCTTGATTTAAAAATTCTCACATAGGTGATTAGATAAAAATAACAGGAGGGCTTTTTCAAACTGAAATTTCACATTATGGGTACAAACCCTTACTGAAGAGGAAGTTAAATTACAAATGCCTTTCTAGATGTTAACTTAGGTGTTAAGCATTTTTCACAAGTCTACACTGGATAGAAACTACGCTCTTCCATGCTTCTTTAGAAGTCAGCTTATACCCTTTTCTAATAATATAAAATATAAAACAGTCGTGGAGAAATAAGCAAACAGTCTGGTGACTTTGGTGGGGTAGATATAGACCCCTATCCAAGTAAGAGCTCCTGCCTAATCCTGGTCCTGGCAGGAGGCCTCCTTTTAAGGGCTATATTTAAAGTCCTTTCCCACAATGTAGCCAAACTTTAAAATGATAACATCTTATTCTGTGCTAAACACAGCTTCAGACCTTTCTTGTGAATGCCAGTGGTCCATGTGTTTGCTGGTTGGTCTGCCATGGAACTTTCGGTGAACCATCCTGAGGCTAGGGGTCCTGGTAGAGTCCTTTCTGGGCTGAGACTCCGTCTCCCCTTTGAGCAGTACCAGTCCCTGGCATGGCCTTGTGGTCTGTTCTGCAGTCTGCCGGGTGCTTACTCCAGCTACCCTATGTTCCCATCTATTCTCCCTTCTTTTGCCTGCAGGGTCTCCACCTTGTCTTTTCTTTGTCCGTGGAAAACCTACCCCTTCTTCTAGCACTGGATTAAGTATCTATGGCTTTCTCCATGAAGATTTCACAAAACTAGTTATTATGTGGAGAAAGAATTTGTTGATATATTAATTTGTGTCTTCCCATCTTCTGTAAGGTGAGGTGGAAAAAGAAGACTCCGGACTGAGAGGAGATAGACCCCCACGCAGCTCTGAGCAGGTGAGTACCCCAGCAGTGATGGTCCCCAGACACAAACGTGGCCACTTGGGTGTTGGCACAAAGGCACCAAAGAAGGCTTTGAGATGTCTACACACCATGATTAGAGAATGCCAGTTATGTTTGGGGAAGGTGAGGTGGCCCCCAAGAGGTCACACCTTGCTCTCCAGAACCTGGGAGTGTGTTATCTTACATGCAAAAGGGCCTTTGTAGATGCAATGAAAAGATATTATCTTGGATTACTCGGGGGGCGGGCAGTCTAATCCCATGAGTCTTCTCCCACTGGAAGCAGAAGAGAAAGTTAGAGAAATGAATGCAGAGGGATGTGAAGCTTGAGAGGGACTCAGTTCAGCCCCGAGGGAAGGGGATTCAGGAAAAGCATCAGAAGGAACAGGGCAGCCTTAGCAGCAAAGACTGGCTCCAGCCAATAGCCATCCAGGCAACCGGGACCTCAGTCCTGCAACCACAGGAACTGTCCTGGCCATCACCTGCATGAGCCTCGATGCACACTCACTCCCAGAGCCACCAGAGGGAGTACAGCCCCACTGAGGCCACGCAGAGGAGCCCATGGACTGTGTCTGCGTGTCCAACCTGTGAAACTGTGCCATAGAAATGGGTGTTGCCTGAAGCTGCTGAATTTGTGGTGGTTACAGCAGCAACCAAAACCTCTACAGGAGGAGAGAGGGACATGCACTGCACTGGGCCTCAAAGAACAAGTAGAAATTTTTTAGGCAAAATGCAAGAGAACAGCAGAAGCAAAGGCTGGAAGAGAACGAGCAGCGCTATGAGAAAGGCAGACTCCTTGAGTGGAACTCAAGTCCCGAGATGACCGACTCACAGATCACGCAAGTGGCTGTGCCTGAGGCGGATGGGACCACTGTCACTGTCATCTCCACACCATCTTATCACAGTAGCAGAGGACACCGAGTGGTGAGTGGGATGCAGGTTAGAGTCAGGCCAGTAAGGTTTTCTGTGCGTGGTGTTAAGGAATCTCAACCTTGCCCTCTGGGTAACAGACAGTAAAAGTGATTTCTGAGTACAAAATCAGCGTGTTCCAGAAGCACAACTCGAGCTGCAGGATAAAAAGTAAAAGCCGATGTGGGAGGAGACAGTGCAGAGACGGCCCTGCCAGAGGGCCCTGCCCGGCTTTGTTCCCACTAGTGCAGTCTGGAAGAGAAGCGCCCTGCACTGTCCACTGCTGCTGTGCTCCTGCCGCACACCAATCCCAGTGCCTCTGCTGGGCCTGGCCAGCACCCGCTCAGTTCTGGTCTCTGCAGTTCTGAGGGAGGGAAGGAGTGGGGACAGCAACTTCCACTTAGATCCCCAGAGGGGCCACAGACTTCCTGCCCCCTCTGAGCTCCCAGCAGGAACACCCACACTGCAGCAAGCACATCCTTCATTGTGAGCCCAGGGCTGTTCTGTTTCTTTAAACAATGCTGCTGCCAGTGAACTCCAGGATGGACAGAACCACCCTGGGGATCCTCACAGACAGAGCAGTCTCCTTAGGATGGAAGAGAGCCAGGCTGGGGGCACACGGACATGCACATGGACAAAGGTAACAGCACAGGGGCTGGATAGAAGGCCCTTCACAGAGGCACGGTGGGGGCAAGGGGCAAGGACAGAAACCCATTAGTGTTTTCTTATTTATTTATTTATTTATTTATTTATTTATTTATTTATTTATATCCAGTAGAGGGAAAATCCTAATGGTGCTTGCATTTCAAAAGTACCTGGAATGTTAGACCTTGGCAACATTTTGTAACTTTGTTTCTGTGTCTGTTATCTTTCCTTGGAATGACCAGCAGTAAAACCCTTCCCACAACAACGTCTGCTGTCTTCAAAACCAGGGAGGCATCGGTGGTTTGGGAGACCAAGTCTCTCTTTGTACCAAGAGGATGTGAGAGGAGAAGGCCCAAAGGTAAATGAAGGTGTGGCTGGAACAGGAGGGGCAGTAGTCTGTGCAGACCAGGGGACCCGCAGGGGGTGCCCTGGTGAGGCGGAGTCACTCAGTCTCTCTGAGCAGGGGGCGATTCTGACCTGCTTTGGGTGCAGTGGGGAGGAGAGTGTGGCCAGCGAGCTGGCTTTACAAGAAGAACCATCGACAGCAAGATACTCGAGGAGGAGCCCAGGCTCACTGGCCCCTCTCTCCCAGCTCCTCCCAATGTGCTTATGCCACATAGGAGGGAACTGCGTGGTGAGGGATGAGCCACCACTCACGCTGGGCTGGGAGATGGGTCCACCAGTGCAGCGCTGGTAATTCGGGCCATTCAGTTAATTCACTTTACTGCAGTGAACATGCATGATACCCCACCAAATATCTGAGAAAAAATATATTTGAATCATGAGAAAAAATATATTTGATTGCCACTTAAAGAGAATTAATAAATTGTGGTCACTTATCAAATAAGCTCAATTAGAGTTTATTTAAATGTCCAACATTTTAAACAGATGTACTTAAATGATAAGCTTATAAGCTTAAACTAAAATGTATAAGTTGAGTCAGGGAAAAAACAAAGGTGGAAGAAAGATGCTTGTTTTTTTTTTTTTTTTCTAGAATGTGGGAATTATTCTTTTACTAACAATACATGGTTTACTACATATTAATTAGAATCTCAGAAAACTGAAATTGTTTTCCTGAAGGTAGAAAAAAGCAGAAAACATCATATGTAGGGCTCTAGAAGACTGTTCTCTACAGCCCATGTAATGTGTTAAGTAGAACAAAGCTGTGAGATGAAAAAGTCCAGTGGTTTACTTGAGAAGGTGGGACCCACTGGAGACTTGCACACGAAGGATCTGGGAGTGTTCGGGATTATTCACGCAAAACATTACCGTCCCCGCCCCCCCCCCCCCACCCCGCTACACTCATCCTCACGAGCTGTTCTAGGCGCAGGACCACAGGATGAACACGAGAAGGTCCTCACCCTGTGGGGGTCTAGCAGGTGAACACTTCAAATAACCAGCGAATGCATTTGGAAAATAATGCATGGTGACCTGTAAACACATTTTTAAATACCATTTTTTTTCAAGTTACCAAAAATACCATAAGAAAAACTCCTTTTATCAAAATCTAGGGGACTGGAATTAACAACTTTGTGGAACAAAATACCAAAGAAAGAAATATCTTTTCTTAAACGGAGGGAGGGGAATATTTTGCAAACCATTTATTCAGGTGAACTGGAAGGTTCTGATGACTCAGTTTCACCTGGCTTTAAACAGATGACATGTATGAGCTTTGTCCTCTCTTCCCACTGGGACATGGTGTGTGCATTCTGGAGGATGTAAGGCACTGGATGCTGTCTGGGGGGAGGGCTTGGTTTACCATTTCACAAGCATGGAGCCTGTGCCCTATTGGTTGGGAGAACAGGGACAAAACCGACTGCTTGGGGCAGGGAGTGACGGATGGAGGATGCAGCCAGGCAGTGGGGAAAATGCCACAGAGGAGAACATCTGGCTCAGGTCCGCAAGGAGGGAAGATGTGGACCACAAGGAAAGGCAGTCTAGGTAGAAAGGACAAGATAAGGGACAAAACAAAGAGGTAAGGACATATCCGACGGTTTCAGGAACCACACAGGGAGTGTGAAGGAGACACAAGAAATGAAGTCAACCGGATGCTGAGTTCATTTTTCAAGATTTGGTGAAAATCTGTACGAGTCAATGTCCTGTCTTCTTCAGTCTTTTGTGGTCAGTGTTGTGTGTTTGGGAAATGACCTCATGAAGGTGGGAATCTAAGTCTGTGCCTTTGAACTCTAGTGAGGGAAACCTAGCCAGAGGGAAGTCGAAACTGCTTCCCTGACAACATCATTAATAATTTACAAAGCTGAGGTGCTCTTGGGCACTTGGACATTTGATGGCTAGGTTTAGCTGTCTAGGACCCAGCTCATGTGAGGTAGGACTCAAAAGAACCCATACAATTTTACATCATTCTTGTTTCAGAGAGGGTGAACACTTGTGATGGAAACAGCAATGCAGCCAGCACTTATTCTAGCATAGAAAGTAGCTCAACTATAAATCGAATTAATAAGACCATAGTGTAAATAGTTTGCTTGCTTGGCTTATAGTTGTACATTTACATGGTTTTCATTTAAACCTAAGCTGATTTGTAGGACAATTACACCAACACCACTAGCAGATTATTTTTTTCTGAAAGAATTAAAAGGTCATCCAAATCTATTAAATTTTAGGAACCAAACACGTTAAACAAATATTTCCCCAAAAAGATACAACTCTTTTTCTATCATCTATAATTTAAGTCTTAAAACAGAAAGAAGTGATTGTGGGTGAAATACAAGACTGAAGTGCTCTTTATAGAATGACAGATGACTTGCAATTTTTAAATCATTTCATGAATACTTCTTATTTTGAAGGGTTCATCTCAAATCTACTACAATTAGAATCATTGATTTCAATGTAGTTTTTCTTCCTGCTCTATCACCTTGACAGGTGCAAACATTAAAGATTAAAAATGTCTCATTCAGAATACATCACAGAAGAATTTGGTGTTTTTCTTTCCCTAGAATATGTCACCAGATTGGCACGTAGCTGATATCTCATTCTCTACATACCTTCCAGCTTCTAGTTAAGAAAAAGACTATAGTTTTAGAAGACTAAGAAAGGATTTGTCATGTGAGGAATGAAATCTTGCTCTTTAGTAAGAATGATGTGGAGCCTGCGGCTCTGATTCCTTGGCAAGAATTATGACTTTCTTCTGCCACTTCGTGAAATTGAAACACCAATCGGTCAACTTGCAAAATATTGCAAAACTTGCCTCTGTAATGCGTGCGTCGTGACTGAAGCCCAACTCCTTGGCACAGGAGAAGGCAGGAACAAATAGATGGAATGCACGGATAGGTGAGGGTCAAGGCTTACGTTGTAGCACGGGGCTGAGGAGAAACTAAGCAAACATGGGAACGCGTTGTGCACTCATGAATCAACTACTAGGCCACAATTTGTTTCTACCCTTCTTTCCTTTTCTTTTTAAAAAAATTCTTCTTGCTCAACTAACTTATTTCTCAGGCCTGTAGAGCCTTCCTTGCTCTTTCCCACGCCCTTTGTGACATCCCGGTCCACGCCTGCCATGGGCATGCAGTCACTGCTGGAGTACCGCCTGTGCCCTAGGCCCAGCAGTTATAGTGGATAACCACTACAAACAAGGAAAGTCTACTCATGGTCATACAGTAGTGTCAATGGAGTCCCTGTCACAGGGGAACTGTGGTGGCACAGACCCCTCACTGGCATCTACAGTGCCCCTACAGGCACTGTCTTCCTTCGACATGCCTTAGAGGACACAGAATGTGGTCTCAGGAGAGACAGCAATAAGTCGAGACCCTGCTGCAGAGCTGGCAGCTGTTGGTGAGCGGAAAACTGCAGGCTGCTGGTGGCTTTACTGGTAAACCAAACCAAGTGCTACCGCTGACAGTCAGTGGTGAGTAGTTACAAGGCACTGTCGGTGACGCTGCTGGCTTGTGTGTGCAGTGCCATTTGTGAGTCACTTAAAACTTGCAATTCCCTCCTCACAGTCCTTTAATTCATCCACATTGCTTGATGTAAACTTTCTGGGAGGCACATTTCTATTTAAAAATTATCACTAAATTCATAATTTCAGTCAGGAACGATTTTTATCTTTAAGAGCATCAAATATGCATTTTAAATGAATGTACATGCATTTGTATGTTGACTTTAAACCGTAAGAGCTGATCTACAATAACAGATTTTTTTAAATATGAAGATGTAAAAGCTTTGCCAAAACTGCTGAGAAAACAAACACATTTTGGAAAAACAAAGAACAAAATGGATTCATGAATCGACTGAAAATTTCTCTGCTATCTACATTCTGCTAATTTTCTCTTTGTTTGAGATTTTTTTGTCTTTGTTTTTGTTTTAAATTTAAAGCTCACACTCAGAAAGGTATTTCTGTAGTACAACAATTTGACTGTGCTAAACAGTATCATTTAGAAGCAAGGAAACAAATTCATAATCCACCAGGATCAAGAGAGAATTTGGAAAGCCAGAGTCTTACATGTACGTGTGTGTGTGCATGTGCCTGTGTGACGGAAACTACAGCGATGTGACGAGCTCTAGTTTCCCTGGAAACAGCAGGACCAAAGCACATTATGTATTCAAAGTAGGATGTGGACATACTTAGAAACATAACAGTATGATTCTAAGTATATTTTCCAGTAAAAATTTGAAGATAATTTTGCCTGTGGAAAGCCTGGTTTTATTCACAGATCCTGGGTTTTTCTGACCAACCCTATTTGTGTTTTGCTGAAAGGAGGGGAGCCATTTACATTCATGTAACATGCCTCCATTCATTTCTGGATATCTGTGGACTTACTCTGTGCCACCGCTAGGGCACAGGTGGTACTCCGGGAGTGGCTATGTGCTCTTGGGAGGGGTGGACCGGGATGGCACAAAAGGCATGGGAAAGAGCAAAGAGGGCTCCACAGGCCTGAGAAATAAGATAGTTTAACAAGAAGAATTAAAATAAAATAGATTTTTAAAATTATATAGAAATTGCAATGTGCTTTCATTAAAATATTGTTTATAAGTGCAATAGCACACTGCTTTTGTTAAAAATAAGCTGAAATGGCATTTAGAGACAAGGTTACTTTACTTTGTAACTGGGAGAGGGTAACAGCCTGCAGAGGTAGGCTGGAGGAGGTGAGCCTGATCTACACTCCCCCAGGGGCTTCCTGCATCAGCACACCCTGCTGGCCACTGCTTAGGGTCTTCAGGCCCTGGCTTTTTGCAGAACACGCCCTGGAGGGATCTAGAAAAGCTCTGGATAGAGCACTGCTCCCAACCTGCTCACTCTTCCTGCACTTTGGATTTTCCTGGGGGGCTGTGTCCGAGAGTATGGATGAGAGGGGTCTGTCTGCCTACTTCAGTGCGAAGAACAGCAGCACGCTGGATTGTCAAAGTGGTCATTTTACAACCAAAGGAATATTGCAACATATTTGGAAATATGCTTCTGTGTGTCAAAGTCAAGCCCCACACCCCAGAGATTTATTCATGCCAGGAGCCACACATCCTGTCCTTTTTACAGGGACCTGGGAAGATTTAGGCTTCTCAGCATCTTTACTACTGTTGGTTTCGTGTGAAACCCAGTGTCTTGCACAGGAAATATTTCAGATTATGATGAACAAAGCCTCCACCATTTCCACCCAAAGATCATGCAAGTAAACACAGGGGCCGGTCAGCTGTGGGGGGCTGGGAGTGGAGCGGGGTGTGCAAAGCCTACCCGGCTGCTTTCGCTCTTTGACCGGTCACTCTTCGCCTTGGCTGTCTTTTCTGCAAGCTTCTTCTGTCTCTGAGGGCCTCTTCCAAAGAAAATGTAGTTGACAAAGGCATACTCCAGAAGCGCCAGGAACACAAAGACGAAGCAGCCCATCAGGTACATGTCGATGGCTTTGACGTAGGGTATTTTGGGCAAAGTCTCCCGAAGGTGGGTGTTGATGGTTGTCATTGTCAGCACAGTTGTGATCCCTGGAAAAGAGAGGATGTGCTGAGAGGCTGCAGTTCGGCTGCAGGGGTCCTCATTTCTCACTCCCCTTTTATATATTCTCCAACGGCTTGTAGTTGGAGATAATGCATTGAACTTTATTGGGCAATCAGAATGCAACAAAGTTTACAGCATGTCGTTTGGTCAGCATGTCACACTCTGAACAGTGAGCTCACAGCTTTACTCTGGGGACATGAAACTGCAGGTTGTCCCCTCCACCCCCCCACTGCACCTTGTCAGTGAGGAGAATGGAATTTCCAAAGTGGAAGGAGAGATATGTAGGGCAGCAAAGAAGAATGTGATCTCAATGAACATTGGAAGAAAATAAACATAAAGCACTAAGAGCCTGGATGAGAAACCTCCAGGACACAGCATGAACCTGAGGTCATCCCCGGCTGGAGAGGCAAGGCCCTCAGGTGGAGCTCAGTGAGACTGCCCGACGGAAAGAAGTAATCGCCACCACAGTGCTCACTGGAGGCCAGAGGAGTGAGACAATGGCTTTCTACGATCAAGGATGTGATCCAGCCCTGAGCTCAAGATAAAGGAGCAGCTGAGTGGGGCTATGAGGGTGGATGGTCCCACAGTCTACACACCCTGCTTGGGAAACACTTGCTAAAGTCAAGGGTTAATGATTTTTTCCCTATTTCATAGAACCTCACCATGCTCTGGGGCAGTGACCAGGTCTTTTTTGTTTTTACATCATTGTGTCAAGCTGTGTGAGTTAGCTCCCTAATGGAGCTCATTTAGTCTTTGAAGCCATGGAAGGACCATATTTTGCAATTCTCCCACCCAAGGCAGTTGACACTGTTCTTGCCATACAAAGATCCCTTACTGAATGATTTTGGGCCACAGGGACCAGGGGCCACATTGTTAGTGACATGACCAGAGCCTGCTGAAGTGAGTTAAGCCAGGCTTACAGGAAAGGCCTCGATCACTTCTTGGGGGGCGGTAACTATGGCAGTTGGCACGACGTCTTGGGACTGTGCTCTGGTCAACTCTTTCCTACCCACGCAACTGATGCCTCTGATATTAACTGATGTGACTGTTAACTGTGTCTTCCAGGAGCCAATGGAGAGGACGCTTCCTCTCCATGGCTCCCACAGGCCTCCCTGAAAAGGTGACTTTCAGCACTGAGAGCCTTGCCTCGGTCCTTCATCCACGCTGACCGGAAGAACAAGTGGCCCGAGCGAGGCAGGAGGCAGTGTGGGCCCACAGCCAGCTCTCCAGGCCGCTCTGCCCACGGTCCAGGCCGGAGCTTGGACTTGTCACGCATCTTATTTTGATCCCCTCTGGATTCCCATCCCTGGAGGCACAAACGTGTCCTGCAGGGAGGGCCTCAAGACTATGGAGCTCAGCTCGCCCATGATGAGCTTCAGGGCAGCGAAAGAGCCCATACCCATCCAGGAAGCAGAGAAGAGAACTGAAGATCTGAGAAGCGATTCTTACGTGCAACTGCAATCCACGGCTGCTGTGGAATGCACAGAAAGCTAGGACATCAGAACATCTTAAGGTTCTCCCTTAACATCACATTCATGTGCCCCTCAGGACTTTGTAAATTTGAAAATGGCATTGGGATAATTTCAATTTACAAATAAATGTGAAAACACCATACAAATGCTACAAATTAGGCATTCTCACCATTACTCACAACTTGGTAATGCTGATGCCTCTAGTTTCTTTCCCCTCCAGCATGGACCTGGGAAGCCTGAGTGCGCAGCTTCAGCTGCAGCTTAGCCTCTCTAGCCGACAGACATGAGAAACACTGTCCTCGGTGGGTGTCCCCAAAATGGGCTGGGAGAACTGGGAGGTGCAGCCAGAACACCACACAGCCACTCAGCCTGACTGTGAGGTCCAGAGGGATAGGCTCAAGGATCTCTTAACAGCAAGCCTTTGCAGGGAGTGCACCCCTCTCTCTGGTTTGGGTTCATATAAGCTCTTAGCTTAAAAGGCCTGTGCATTTACTAATTCCTCCAGTAGTTTTGCCTCCTCTCTAGGATCCTGTGGAGGATGGTGTATGTGGTGGTCCACAGCCTGGACAGGAGAGCCACATGGCCCAGGCCATTGTCTGGAGCTGTGGGGAAGTCTAAAGGTAGTGCCTGGGGCCTGTGGCGAGCCACTGACCGTAACTGGCACTGTCAACACTGATAACAACAGATGATTGTGTTACAATCATCACTACAGAAAAATAACTCTTCAGAAGCCTCTGGTTTTCCTGGCCTTGCCTTGAACTTCACTGTCTGAGAGGACGCCGTCGAGGGCAGAGAGAAGGTGACTGGGTGTAGGGCTTTTGTGTTCTTCATACGTTTAGCAGGCTGTTAGCCTCAGCTCCTTTCTCTTCTAGATTATGTTCACTGAACACTGTATCAGAAAAACTACACTTATAAAGATGGCTATGAAATAAAATACAGTTTCTGTGCATCATTTAATCAAAACGTTTTATTTCTCGCTTTTTTGATCAAAATAATGAGGCCTAAATTACATTAGGACACATTTTCACTTTAGAAGTACTGATACTTATTCATGGACAGCTGGACTCAGGGTTCTGAGGGAGACCACCTAATTCCAGCTCCCACTCTGCCGTCTGGTGGCTGCTGACACTAACAGCTCAGCGCATCCGGGGTCAGCCCCGGCAGCAGAGGCGCACCGTCCCAAAGCACAGAGAGCAGCAGCCCAGCCGAGCCACAGCTGCACAGTGACAGCAGGGGAGCAGGCCTGGCACCTGCAGTACACTCCAGGCCCACAGTGCGAGTCTAGGGGAGCGCTCACAGCATAGGCCACACTGGGTGCCCTCCGTCTGCACACTCACTGCTCTTCCTGACCTCATTTAGAACCAGGTGGACCTAGCACAGCGCAGCCCTTGTGGAGGAAGGCCAGCAGCACTCTGAGCATGGCAAAGGGCATGGTACCAGCAGGAGGCTGGGGGAGGGGTTGGGGGAGGAGACTGGAGAATCAAAGCCCTCCAAACCATGGCCTTATCCTCTTAAAGAGTCACAGGGCACAGTAGCACCTTAAAGATTTGGAGGGATCCCTCAATAACAAGAAGTAATAATGCTTGCTTAGCTTTCTTAAAATCCTATTGACACTTTAAGAACCACCCATAGTGGTTAAGGGAGAGGGCCCTGGAGTTAGACTAACTGGATTGAAATCACTGGAAATGTAGTAATGATGTGACTTTGTGCCAGTCACTTAGCTTCTCTGTACCTCATTTTCCTGCTCTGTAAGATGGGGCAATAATGTTGCCTATGTTGCTACAGACCTTCTACAGAATAGGTCAGATAAACACACTAAGGGTCTTAGCAGAGACTGGGGCAGCTGAGCATCTGATAAGTTTCAGCCTTCATTATCATCGTCATTGTTTTTATGATGGTGATCTTATTCAGTGTCATGACCCTATGACATTTCCTTAACCAACTGGAGACAACCAACTGTTGTTTCCCAGCACCTGCAGACCCAGACCCAGAGCCACATCCTCCATTGGCAGGAGGGACAGTGGGAATGAGCGTGCTGGTGTCGCCCTGAAAGCTGGACCTGTGGGCTCCCACTATTGCCAGACCCTGTGGCCCTAAGATCACAACTGCCTTGCACACCTGCAGGCTTTAAGTCCCCTGGCTGGGGGGTGCCCTCTCCCTGCTCCCCTCACGCCTGCCTCCATCTCCAACACCAGCCAGAACCTGACCCTGCTCCAGTGGCTTAACCTTGGCTACGATTCATCCCAGCAGAGCCACAGATGCATGATTTAGATTTATAATAGTGATGCTGTGTTGTTAAGACAAAGTGAAAACACTTTCATATACTGTAATGAGGTTGGGTTGAATATAACCTACTTCAGATAGATTATCTGTTTAATATTGTGGAAGACAATATTTTACATTTAAGGAGGTTTAAAACTTGTTTATCTAGGAAATTTAGATGTTCACATTTTCAGTACGCCTCACCCATTATGACGCCAGGTAACTATAGTTGTTTGGTGCTCACATTTATCTAATTACTTCAGTAACAATATCTTCTTCCAGAAGATTCACTGTGAAGCCTGTGAAGTTTCCGCTTCAAGTCTTCACTTGCAGAGGCCTCTTCTGGGCTCAGGGAGGGGGTGGGGGTGGGGGTAGCGGGTAGCAGGAATTTTTTGTTTGAATATTTTATATTCTTTTTCTTAAAACAGAGCACCTGAAATTACGTATGCAAACTACTTCGCAAAATTTGGACCTGCCCCTACAAATTCATTGTATCTCTTCACTTTCCAGGTGAGAAAACAATTTAACAAAGAGTAAACTAGTAACATTAAGAAAAAAAAAAAAAAGTAAAATCTACATAAAGACTGACATTACAGGGTAACCTCTATAGGCTGTAGAGGCATTCTGGACATTTTTAAAAGAATTTTGCTTACCATACCTATTAGAAATACAAAATAATCAATACAGCACTTTTACTTTTTTGATACTTCTTTGTTCTCAATGTGCTTTTTTATTCACCTAACACTTTTTGCAATAGCTACCTGATTTTCTCTAGTCATAAGTATGTGTTACTTCTTAGGGGGTGGAAATCTGTACAAGTTACATATCTGTGGGTCTAAACCAGATGTCTATACACACATATGAACACCCATTCTCTTTTAAAAAAAATGCTACTCAACTTAAAGTCCTGGGAAAAAATCAGTAAACAGAAAAAGAAAGAAAAGAGGGGATAACTGGAACCAGCAAATGTGTTGATAATTCTTTTCTATCAGTTTTTAAAAGTACTATTAATAATTTCATTTTCAGGACTTAAATTCACCCCTACCCAAAGAAAAAATGGACTGGAGATTGGTTGTGAGCTCTGTACTTACCTAAAATGTATTTAAATGATTCTTTTGTCCATGCAGTTTTATAATAATTAGCACAGTGGAGAATGTTTCTGAATATATAAGCCTTCCCGTAATAATCAAAAATGTTAAATATAATATTGCAACCTATAACGTATATTGTAAATCAGCTAATAATCCACTTGTCAAAGAACCAGTGGTCAGAAAAGATCACCAGAGCTTTTGGGAATCACTCAGAATCTAACTACATGTTTTAGTGCTTATTAAATTGTGTAATTCTAATTATGTGCTGTAATATTTGACTATTTTACAGACTTAAAAAAGGAGAATGCACAATTAATCAAGTCTTCTTTCTGGGCCACAGAATAATTTTGAACAGGAGATGTTAATCCTTGCTTTAAAATTAGTGTCAAAAATAGTTTTATTATGCAAATATTCTGCAAGCATATTTTCCCTTTCATGGGCATGAAAATTCACATTTGAGCCTTATAATTAAATTAACACATCAAGGGAATCGTGCATGAAATTAGTGCTTCAAGATAAAAAGTGACTACACGGGCAAGGCTGGTGTCATAATGTCAAAAAATTGTAGTTGAACTATAGCCTTTGAACTTTCCTAATACTGTAATGATACGGTTACTTTACATTTTAAATGTCACTTAAAAATGGCACATACCGAGGGCAACTCTAGCAGCAGATGCATCGTAATTGATCCAGAAGGACACCCAGGAGAGGATGGTAATCAGTATAGAGGGCATGTAAGTCTGAAGAATGAAGTATCCGATGTTTCTCTTCAACCGAAAGCTCAACGAGAGTCGGGGATAGGCACCTGCAGTAGACAGACAAGGTGTCAGGCTGGGGAGAAGAGGGGTGGCAGCTTGCTTGGACTTCCCAGGTCACTGGCATGTGTGTGAAAAATTCACGAGCTAAATCAACCATGCAGCTTGATTCTGTCTGCCAAACGGTATTTATGGAAGAATTGGGAGGGGGGTGTACTGCAGTCTGTGTATAAGACGATCATGAGGATACTCTTCTAAGGCTAACTGCTCAGCTGAAAACTATCCCCGGGAAAGCTTGGGGGAAGATTTTAGCTTAGAATACAGAAAAATGCCAAATACCTTGTTTGCTTGTTTAATTTATGACCATCCCCTTCTTCTCTACTCTAGACAGGGGAGATGTGGTTCAAAGTTTAGGAAGCAAAACAGTTTTTAGCAGTAACCCTTCAGCCCATGCCCAACAACTCTCAGCACAGGTGTTGGTGGCACTGACCTCAGACCGACTGGGAAAGCTTGGGCCACCCCAGACCTGGAGTGGCAGAGAGCCAGTGCAGTCCCAGAGAGGGCAGCAGTGCACCATGAGGTGCTCTCTCCAGCCACGGGAAGGCGGGAAGAAGGGCACCCGGGTCCTAGGGCTAATCCTCAGATGTGTCCGTTCCACTCAGCTCCACCGTTACAGAGTGGGAAGACGCCGCTTAGACCGCCACAGTAGCGTTATGTCTGCCTTTCTGTTTTGTTTTTCTCAGAGCCAGGCAAGTGTGGCCTCTAGTTCCTGCCATCCATTTCGACAGCCCACTTGATCAGTTCCAACCCTCTCAGTACTTTATCTCCCAGATTCTATCGAAGCTGCTTGAAGGTCAGTGAAAACCCAATGGCCTTCTCTAATCACTGACTTGCTGACTGTCCTACCCCCACTGACGGACCCTCTCTGCTCCTTAGGTGCTACACCTGGGCTTCAGGAACTACGCCTTTCTCTACCTGCTCTCACTCCAAGCCTGACAGACTCCTAGTCCCCCTCTGCCTCCAATATGTGCATTTTCCACACTTTGTCCCACATTGCTTTTTGTGTTGCAGGGACACTGTTCTTTTCTTCAGCAGTCTGATCCACTCTCATGACTGTTATCTCTATGTACAAGATGAACGATTTTATCTCCAGGCCCCCTACTTCAGCATCAACCACACTTTCAGCCAAAATTATACAAAAGAGAAAAGTAATCACCTAATAGGCCCAGCACTTAAAGGCTGACAATCTGGGAAATTCCCTCGAGTCTTTTGTGTGTGCGCCTATAATTTCTTTTACACAGCTCTGATCAGATACATGTATCATATCGCCGACACAGCATAAATATTTTCGTAGTTGTTACAAATTATTTGTAAACAGGATTTTAAATTCTTCCTATTTTTTTAATCAAATATATACACATGGACTGTATAGTTTATAAATACAAATTCCTGAGTGCTCTAGATTTAGGTAATTTCCATTTTTACAAAATTGTAAAAAGTACTTTTCAGGGGGCCGGCCCGGTGGCGCACTGCTACAGTGCGCTGCTTGGGAGCGCGGCGGTGCTCCCACCGAGGGTTCGGATCCCACATACAGACCCGTTCCTGCTCACTGGCTGAGCGAGGTGTGGGTGCAACACCAAGGGTTGCGATCCCGTTGCCGGTCTGGTACGGGCGCGACACTGAGGGTTGCGATCCGTTGCCAGACACGAAAAAAGACAAAAAGGAAAAAAAAAAAAGTACTTTTCAGAATGTCTTTGAGCAGAGCCCTTTTGCTATATTTAGGGTTATTTCCTTAGGATGAACACGCCAAAAGGGGAACTGCTGGGCCAATGTTTAAGGCTTTTGATACGCACCATCACGTTATTTTGCAGAAGGATGAAACCGATATGTGCTGCCACTACCAGCGGTTTATGAAAGTGCCTGTCTCACCCTGCAAACACGATAATGCCACTCAGTATCTCTTATAAGTAAATAACTTTGGTTAATTCCCTTGGGAAAATTTTGTCCTTTCAATTACTTTCTTTAATTGAATACTTGTTATATGTTTTTTTCTCTTCCATGTTTAATCTATGAATTATCCGATCACACTACTGTTTCATTCTTCTCATTTCTTTCCTCTTCCTGCTTTTACCTTTTTGTCTAAACTCTTTACACACTACTCTTTGCTTGTATGCTCTGCAAACATTTCCCAGCTGTCAGTTTTAAAACTTTTAATGGGTTTCAGTGGGGACACACAGATAGTTAAATTTTTGTATGTAATTGTATCTAACCATTTCATTTTGTTTCCTTGTGATTTTTAGAACTTGCTTTTAAGCTTAGATAAGTTCAGGAAAGAGATGCACCTACACACCTTTATTCTAGTGTTTGATATGAGGTGAAAGTATACATTGACTTTCATCTCACAGACAGTTAACCAACTTTGCCAGCACCATCAGTGGAATAAAGCTTCCCTTCGTGTAGATTTGAGACAGCTCTATTGTTTCACATTCCATTCCATGTGAACGTGGATCATGACATGACATGCCATAAAGACAGGTCACCCCTCACCATGGTCTCTCCACCTCAGGGACCCTCCCCACCGCTCCATCTGCACATTCCAGTAGCATAGCATGACACACGCTGTCATCCCTGACTCCAAACCTCTGTGGCTCACTGCTTCCCACAAAGGTCAAAACACTCATATGGAAATTTTAGTTTCTCTGTGTTTTCCCAGATTAACTTCAGTTTTATTTTACAGCATGTCTCTGCATTAAACATAACATTTTCTAGTCAAAGGGGTTCTCACTGCCTCAAAATAATTGTCTTTATTTCTGGCCTCTGCTGACTCACACCCACAGTTCTTAAGAAATGTCTTTCCTTATCCATACTCCAAGGCATTGGTCCAGTGCCACATCTTCCATGAATGCTTTCTTTTTCTCCCTCCAAATGTAAGTGATCACTCGTTTGAGTTATTTTCTTTCTCACTGTAAGTACAATTATTAATATTTACCAAGGTAAGATCTTCTTTAGCAAATTGTGCAGTCCCAAAGGCAGAGTCTGAGAAGTAATGTATTTTTTATGCACTAGAAGGCCTAGGTAAATGTCTAAACCACCATAGGTCATGAATAAATATATCTGTATGCTGAATGAATGAAAATAGAAGTATTTAGTTTATGGGACTCTTTAGTTGAGTTTAATACATAAAATGTTCAGTATCTTCATTGAATCTCAGTGTGAAACCCTGTGGCAAGTTCATTATTTTTACCGAAGTAATTTCAATGTTGGATCTCACTTTGCAATTTCATGGCAATCTCAGTCCTTTCTCATCACTGGTCGTTTGCACCTCCTTGCTTCAGCCACACCTCACTATATCTGCTATAGTGGGAATAGTGCTGTTATCAGTCAGGAGAGCCTGGCTTACGCTGCAGTAACAAACACCCCCAAATCTCAGTAGTCTACAACAAAGATTTCTTTTTTCTGCCTTTGCTACATATCCACTTAGCTGGTATCTGCAGCACTGGTGAATCCTGTGGTAAAAGTGTCACATGTCCCGTGACATTTTATCATCCAGAGCAAGTCTTATCACCAACCCTTACATCTTCAGCATGGGAATGTTTAACTCTCTCCCAGGAAAGAGCAGCAAATGTTTTTGAATGATAAGGAAATTTTCCATATTCCCCAACTTTTCATTTTCCAAGTCAACTTTCTTAACATTTTCCTAAGTACATCTTCTACAGGAAAACTGTTCCCAACAGAAGGCAATACTGATGCTCATGCGATGAAGTATGACTGACACTCTGTTGGGAATACTTGCCCCTGACATGCGGGACCAACAGCATGATTGCACAGCCCAATACGTGGAAGATCATTAGAGACCCTGAGGAAGGGAGTACTCATCCAATTTAAAAAATACACTTATTTTTAGAAATTTGCTAAGAAACTCATTGACACAGAATTTAGAATTAAGAAAATATGCCATTTTCTTACGTATTTGTGTAGCAACTACATTCTGTTTGTTAAAAGTGAACTGCCACTTAGATCAGCAGAATGTTGACGCACTCAGCGTGTGCCCCACACCCCAGTCACTGAGGTGAGAATAGGGAGGGGAGCAGAGCACAATAGTGAATAAAAGCATCATCTCCGCTCTTAACTAGCTCCTAACCCATGTTAGAGAGAGACTTGTGCAGAGCTGGCCTTGGTAAAACTGAGGCAGGCACTACCTTGGAGATACAAAAATCTTCCAGGGCACATGCTTCAGTGATCTCAGAGAGGTTGCATGGTCTCTGAACTGAGATACTCATGACTGAATAGGATCCTTCAGGCAGGCAGGAAGGAGAGCTTCTAGGGAAAGGACCTAGCAGAACCAGATGGACAAAAGCCTTTCTGATGCCAGGAGACAGAATCTCAGAACATTAGTAAGCACAGGCATGATTGGAGATAATAGGTCTCTTCTTCTAGACAAAGGCTTTTGCCATTAGTTGTCATAACAAATAGCACAAAAAAGTCTTTCTGTAGCTCTCTCAGACAAAGTCCTTAGACTGACAGGAAGGAATACCACAATATATGCTGTGTCTACAGGGAAAACTCCCATATGATCACAGCCAGTGGCTAACAACTTAAAGCTGAGCAGTAGTAAGTCAGCTGCACCAAGACATACCCTCCGAAACAGCAACAGAAGCTGTAAAATGACAAGAGAAATGCACAGAAGCCCTAATGCCTTCGTGCCAACGTGGATGTGGTCAGGTACCCCAGCAGATGCTGAGCCAACAGACAGAGGCATGGTCCCTGAACACCATGTGTCGTTCCAATGTGGGGCCTCCTTGGCAAAACTAGCGAGTGAAGATGCTGATCCCAAGCCTTTCTCCCAGATGCGTTAAAAGTTATGCCAGAAACAAGCCTCTGGATCTCCAATCCAGCCTAAATTTATATTACTCTCTAGGCTTTAATATCTTTGAAGAACTCATTAAAAATGTGGACATAGAGTGTCATGACAGCTCTGCACAGTGACAAGAGCCACTCAGACATATCTGTAAAGCAATGAGCTGATATTTCAGCAGCTGTGGCAGAGCTGACCCCTGAGCACCTGCCTCTCCCTGTTAGGGCAGCTCTGGGCATCTCCCGCTGCTGTCTAAGAAACCCTGCAAGTTCCCAGCACAACTTTTGGGTCCTTCTCATGCCATCTGATTTGTTTATCATCTGCCTTTTGCTTTATAATATGGCCTAAGGTTAAAAACAGTGTTACTGGGGCCGGCCCGGTGGCGCACTGCTACAGTGCGCCGCTTGGGAGTGCGGCGGCGCTCCCGCCGAGGGTTCGGATCCCACATACAGACCGGTTCCCGCTCACTGGCTGAGCGAGGTGCGGGCGCAGTGCCGAGGGTTGCGATCCCATTGCCGGTCCCGGTCCGGTACGGGCGCGACACTGAGGGTTGCGATCCGTTGCCGGGCATGAAAAAAGACAAAAAAAAATTATAGTGTTACTAATTTTCTTACTTCCACTACTAGTTACCTTATTACATGTGGGAAAAAATCCATGAAGGAAAGAAAATATATGAAATAGAGAAGAGAGAGAGGGGAAACACAGGACTGAGGCTAAAGAAAAAAATCTGTTTTAAAGATGATCTCAATCAGAATCAGAGAATGAGTCTCTCTCTGATACTCCCCAGTAAAACCAGAGTGTTGACCCACATGACATTGCAGCAAAAAACAGCAGTGTCTCAACAATGCAGGCTCACAGTCTATTCGGGAAATTCCTTTTGGGGAAGTTAGCTATGCTCCAGACTCTGTCTTTTTTTTTTTTTGTGTGTGTGTGTGTGTGTGTGTGTGTGTGTGCGCGCGCACACGCACAAAATCAGGACAAGAATACCATGAGTGATAGCAGAAGAAAAAAATAAGTTTTCCTTCATGAAAATTAAAAACTACTGTGCTGCAAAGGATACCATCAAGAAAGTAAAAAGATGTCCCACAGAATGGGAGAAAATATTTGTAAACCATGTATCTGACAAGAAATTT